GGATTTCAAGGGCCAGCAAAAATAGAGACCACTTGTCCTCCACTGAGCGAGTTTAATCCAAGAAGAAAATGCTGCCAATTTAAAATACTAATGATATTTACTTTGTCATCTAAACTATAACCAGAATATCAAATGAATAGTTTACCAGTCAAGGGGATGCCTAACTCTGCAAAGCCACCTTTGGGCTTTGCTAGAAGAATGTACTTTTGTGCACAAGGAATACAGATGTGGCACAGGGCATGCCACAGGGTACAGAAGGGATGCATAAGCCCTGAGAAAAAAATGTCACCCAACCTCTATGGCAGGAGTGACATGTAAGCATGTCAACTGATCAGGCCTCTGAATGTGGGCATATTGTTGTGTCTGCCCAGTGCCCAGCAGAAGAGGGCAGATCTAAAATCTAGCAGGTGGTTTGCTCACCTGGGAGGCCAAGTCACACAGGAGCCCCATGGGTGGGCAGCAGCCCTGATGGTTGACCCCAGCAGCAGATGGGCTGGGGTCCGCTGGGGACTTTAGCAATGAAGAAAATAATAATAATGCTCACAGACACAGGTATGCCCTTAACGGTCACTGTGTGCCAGGTGCTTTGTTAAACTCTTTAAATATTTTATTGTATTTAATTTTCATAACTATCCTGAGAGGTAGGTGCTATTATTTGAGGCAGTATAGCTTAGAATTTGAAAAAAAGGGCTCAAGAGTCAGACTGCTTGGATTCAAATCCCAAGTGCCACTTAGAAGCTGAGTGACCTCAGCCAGGGTTATGTAAGCTCTCTGGGCCTCATGATACTCAAATGTAAAATGGAAATTATAATAGTGCCTGTCTTATGAAGCTGTTGTGAAGTACAAATGAGTCTGTACATGTAAAATGCTTAAAACAGGTACTGACACAAAGCAAGCCCCTCAGTAAGTTTAGCTATTCCTGTTATTCCTAGCTAATAGAGACTGAGGTGGCTTGCCCGTACCCTCATACCTGGTAAGGGGCAGAGCCAGGGCACACAGGTCTGTCTTTAAAGCACCCACGATCCAACACAAGTAATTCTGGTTCTGCAACCCCCACCCCATTCATACCACCACCCTGATCCTTGTCAACAGGGCCTAGTCTTCCTTGGTACCAACCCAGGCTAACAGGTGCCAAAAGGAAGATACTAAAAAAACAGGGATTCTAACTTAAACTCTGGTTTGGCTACTACATGTAGAAACAGATAGATACAGATGTGTCTTTGTATGGGAATCTACCTCATAAGAGAAAATGGTCCTTTTCCAAGGAGGGGGACATCTCTGCCTCTGGGCTTTTTTATGTGGCTCTCATGTAGCTCTTGAGACTCATGACCTTGAGACTGCATGGCCCAATAAAACTCAACTTTCACTGAGGATCTCTGAATACAAATAAAGGGCATGATTGCTAATAGAGAAGGAGAAACATAAGAAACATGAGGGCCAATACAGCAAGAGGGCCTCATGAGCCAAGACTCAGCCCTGGGTCCTGCTCTGCTCCTGGAAGGTTCTAGAAAGAGCCAGAGCCAAGCTAGAAAAAACGCATGCATTATAGAAAACCAAACCATCTGTGATTCAGAATGGTCTGGGAATAAGAATCTTTGAAGCACTGGGCACCTGGGTGGCTCAGTGATTGAGCATCTGCCTTCAGCTTATGTGGTGATCCTGAGGTCCTGGGATGGAGTCCTGCATCAGGCTCCCCATAGGGAGTCTGCTTCTCTCTCAGCCTATGTCTCTGCCCCTCTCTCTCTGTGTCTTGCATGAATAAATAAATAAAATCTTTTAAAAAAGAAAAAGAAAGAATCTTTGAAGCATCAACTTAAAAGAAAATGACCTATAGTCATGGATAATTAACACTGTGGGTGAGGATTATGTGTCAAGATGTGTTCAAAGCCCTTCAGAAACAAAAATCCCCATTATTATTACTCGTATCAATGGTATGATGTAAGCAGTGTTTTTTAGTCTCATTTTACAGATGAAGTAACTAAGAAACTAAGACACAGAAAATTCAAATAACTTCTCCCAAGTTCACACAGTCTAGCTTCAAAGCCCATAGTCTTTATCAGCATTTCCAAACCTTTTTGTCTAATCCACAGAAGAAATAGATTAGGACCCAGTATATACTCCTGCATGTATACATAATCGAAACAAAGTTTTATTTATTTATTTATTTTTATTTTATTTATTTATTCATGAGAGACACAGAGACAGAGGCAGAGACACAGGCGGAGGGAGAAGCAAGTTCCCTGCAGGGACCCCAATGCAGGACCCGATCCCAAGACCCCGGGATTACGGTCTGAGCCAAAGACAGATGCTCAACCACTGAGCCACCCAGGCGTCCCAAAACAAAGTTTTAAAACAGAAAATACCATTACCACAGACAATTCACTCCCATGCTTTCTCTTCTATTCCATTCCACTAAAAAATATATCATTCAAACATTTATGTAAAACCTAATACGTATTAGACACTTCTAGGTTTTGAGGTTATGTCAATAGATGAAAAAGATAACAATCCTTGCTCTCTCGGAACTTGCATTTTACTGGAGAGAGAGTGAAAAAGATCAACATGCAAAATCATAGCATCTGAAGCAGTAATTTGAGGGATGCCTGAGTGGCTCAGCGGTTGAACGTCTGCCTTTGGCTCAGGGCCTGATCCCAGGGTCTGGGATGGAGTCCCGTGTCAGGCTTCCTGCAAGGAGCCTGCTTCTCCCTCTGCCTGTGTCTCTGCTTCCCTTTGTGTATCTCTTATGAATAAATAAATAAAAATCTTTAAAAAAAAAAAAGAAGCAGTAATTTGGTGAGTGCTATGGAGAAAAATAAACCAGGGATGGCCAAGAGTGGCCAAGGAAGGCCTCTTGATATTTTCATTCCCCACTACACTGATTTCAGTGGGCTATCACCCACATCATACCCGGCCACAGTGAAAAACTCTATTAATCCCTCTACTCTAGTGACTCTGTATGTCTGAAGCTCTTTCTCCTAGACTGTGTGCACATGCACACATGCATGGGATTGTGTGCACAGGTGTATGCACGTATAGGCATGCATGTACGTGCGTGCACGCATGTGTGCATGTGCATGTCCACCTCCAGTCACTCCCTCACTGGGGAGGTTTTGGAGGTGTGGCCCTGACAAACAGCTGGGTTCCTTCCACAAGTCTGCCCTGCAGAGGGGTCCTGGAGTGAGGCTAAAATACAGCCCAGGCACCACAAGCCACAGCCACAAAGTGCCAGACATGTGACCCCACCGGAGTCTTTTTAACCCAGAGGAATGAGAATCTTTTTATCATGGGTCCACTGAAAGGGGGCACCTTTTGTAATTCATTAGGCCAGAGAGAATGCTAATTCCTAATCTTCATCAAGATGTTCTTTGTGCTAGAATGCCCTCAGGAAGAGAAGAGACAGCACACAGAAATAAAAAGAACTCCCTGGGGAAAACCCAGTGCACTGGGCATACCTGAAGGGGTGATTGATGTGGGTCTCAGGGAAGATGGGATTGGAGCCAGCTCTGAGGCAGCTCTGGGCTACTTGGGTAGCTTCCATGGAGTATTTGGAACTTGGCACTAGAGTGAAATCTTCAGACTCTTTCCTTAAGTTAAAGGGGCACATAAAAATGTTACTAGCATGGACATCAAAAGCATTACCTATGGGAAAAGCAGCCAATCTCTGCTAATGAATAAGTGTAATTGATCACAACAGATGACTTGATGGACCTTCCAAATGTGCTTTTAGCAAAGTGGACAGTTTTTCATTCAAATGCAAACTCACCCAGATAAGATCTAATAATGGAGATTTTGGAACAATCCCAGCATCAGTGATTTCTTTTTTTTTTTTTTCTCCTTCACCGAGCAAGAAGGCATCTTATGTTCCTGATCACAGCCTGACCCAACGAGACATCAATTTATGCTTTCCCAGTGACTCAGGAGACATTGACAGTTCCAGGGGCAGCAAAGGAGCAATGACAGGTGATCCTCCCATCCATATCTGTCCTTTCCTCCTTAGCCCCATTCCTACTCCCTGACCTACGAGAACTTGGGTGGCTAGGAGACATTCAGTTCAAAGCAATCATCCATTTATTCAAGAAATATTTAGTGAGCACTTACTATGTGCAAGGCACCATACTGACTGCCACAAGAGGACTCAAAGATGGCTAGGACCAGGTCCTGTCCTCAAAATAGTGGCCAAATGTGAGGAGAAACAACAAATGACAAGAAGGCTCGAGTAGAGGTCTCAGTGCACTTCAACAAGCACTTAATCTTTCGGAGCTTAAGCTTTCTCCTTTGTCAAACGAAGATATTGCACTAGACATGATCTCTGGGCACTAGGCCAGCTTGAAAACTATGGTTCTATGCCCTCCCCTTCCCACTCAGGCTCCTGGAAGCTGACAGATCAGATGCAGCCTTCTAGGAAGGGGGCAGCCAGCAAAGGGAGGGGGTAGTGAGGATTGTGTACCTTTCCCTGAGTGAAAGGATGTTTCAGTTTGGCCAGAACACAAGATACAGGCTGGGGAAAGATGGAGAGAGAAGTTCAAAAATTAAGTGAAAGATTTAAACTTTCACATCAAGGAATCTGGGGGAAAAGGGGAACCACTGTAGTTTGTGCAGAGAATGGTACCATCATGTAGTGCAAAGGAATCTGACCGACCTGTGGAAGACGAGTTGGGGGAAGGGAAGGCGGTGATGTTTACAATAGAGCATAAGGGCTGAGGCCTGAAAAGAAAGGTTCCTCCCGTGGTCTAGCCAAGCCCACCATTCCATCACCCCCTGGCCCTCGCCACACTGCCTATTTTCACAAACATCCTCGAGGAGAAATCATGTTGCACAATCTTAGTGGGTTTTTTCTTTTTTTTTTTTTTTTCAGTTCTACAAGTGATTTCAAGATAAACAGAAACATTTTATCTCCCTTCTTCCCAAGCGCCTGAGGTTCAACAGGATCAACAAGGTGAGCCAGGGAGGGGTGCAGGAAGGGGCCGGGAGCCCCCGGGACGCGCGAGGGGGGCGCCTACCTGCAGAGAAGCCGTCCTCGTGGTCCGAGCTGTTGTGGCTACAGTCACTGCCCCTCTCGGGAGAGCTGTGGCTGGGAGAGTCCCGCTCCGGCACCCGCAGGAACCTCTTGCGCCGCCACGGGGGGAGGTGCTCCCGAGCCCCGCGCCGGGGGCGCTCCTCGGCCGCCAGGGGCGAGCTCCGCCCGTCCTTGGCCTCCGCCTCCAGCTGCTCCAGGTCGCGGCTCCGGCGCTGCTGCTGCTGCTGCTGCTGCCGCCGGCCCCCGTGGATCAGGTGCATCCAGCGATGGGGGCTGCCCGCCCGCGCCGGCTTCTCGGCCTCATCGCGGCCCCCGAGCCGGCAGGGGACCACGAGTAAGTGGCCGAGGACGAATTTCTCGTTCAAATCCACCATCTCGAAGTCGTGATCACTGCTGTTGCCCCCATCATCCGCGACCGAGGCGTCCGGCTCGCCCTCCTCCGAGCCCCGCCCCGCGCGAGTCCCGGAGGACAACTCGTCTCCCCGGGCGCTGGGGACTGTGTCATCGTGGCCGGGGGGCGCGTGCTCCTCCTGGGGCCTGAAGAGCAGGCGCGGCTGCAACAGCTGCTGGTGGATGGCGGCGGTCAAGCTGCGCACCGCGCCCCCTGCCCCCGCGGGCCCCGGCCAGGAGTGAAGGTCCTGGCCCGCGCAAGGAGGGGTCTCGGCCGTGGCGGCCACCTCCGCGTCCCCGCGCCCGGGGCCTGGGGGGTCCGCGCCGCCGCCGGCCGCGCCGCCCTCCGTGCGCGCTGGCGGCGCCCGCTCCCGCCCGGCCGGCGCCGGCTCCTCGGCCCCAGCGCCCGGGCTGCCGCCGCGTCCGCCCTCCGCGCGCCCGCAGCCGACGTCCCGCTTCTCCCTGGCCAGGGCCGCTTGCAGGTAGGAGACTTTGAACTTCTCCTCAGCCAACACCTGTTGCAGCCGCTTCAGGTTGAGTTTGCAGCGCTCCAGCTCCCGCTCCACGTCCAGCACCGAGTCCAGCCGCATGACGGGCGCCTCCTCCCCGGGGAATTGGGCCCGCCAGTGCCGCTCAAAGTCCCGAGGGTCCCACATGGCGGCCGCCCCCTCGGGCCTCCGGGGCCCGGCTCCCCCGCGCGCAGCGGGCCGGGGTTGTGCCGGGCTCTTCCCGGAAGCCCTCGCGGGCGCAGTCGCCTGCCCTTCACTTCAGCCCTAGAAGAAAATAAGAGAAAAAAATAAAAGTTTTACCCCTTCCGCCCTTGTGCCTTTTTTTTTTTTCCCCTTCTTCTGGGTTTCGCCTCCTGACGTAAGCGGCCACCCGCGGCGGAGGCGGGCGTCGGGGGCCCTGGGCCCGCCCTGGGCAGGCAGGACGCGCGAAGTCTGCGGCGCGCAGCTCCCGCCGCGGGGCCCGGAGACCCGAGGGCTGCGGCGGCTGGAGAGCCGCGGCGGGGCGGGGGGCGGGCCGGGGCCGGGGGCGGGGCCTCGGGGGCGCCCCCGGAGCCGCGCGGCAGAAGCTAGAAGCCGCCGGCGGGAGGCCGGGCTCGCACCTTCCCCGGCGCCGCCGCGCGCCGTCCGCGCGGGCTCCCTGCATCCGAGCGCGGGGCCGCGCGGCCGAGGGAGGCGGGAGCCCCGGCGAGGCAGCGGGCGGGGGCGCACGGGCTCGCAGCCAGCCCTCCGCCGCCCGGCCCTGCGCAGCCTCGTCTGCCCGGAGTCGGCGCGGCGCGGCGCACCGGGAAGGAGAAGGTGGGGGCGGCGGCGGGGAGAGGTGCGGCGCGCGGCGGCCGGGGCAGGTGTCAGGCGGAGGGCGCGGTCGCCGACCAGCGGGGTTGTCCTTCCCCAGGATTTATTGAGCGCCTTGAGCTAATGTGTCCAAGATCACAGAGCTGTTTAATTCAAAACTGGGGAGTGAACTTTGGTTTAGGCGAGCGCCTTTTAAAGCATTCTCTCCAGGGCTCAGTAGAGCTGTTCCGGCGGAGAAATGGGCAAGGGCGACAGCTTCGAGTGGTTCTGGCTGGAGCCCCCTGTGACTTCAAAGCTGAGAGTACCCGCGCCTGACAAACCATGGCACCGGGAGCCATAGACACTTGGGCATCTAAGAGGGCCCTCCATTCCACCTCCTCGCTGTGACCTCACACGAGTCCCCTAGGGAGGGAAAGAAAGGAGGAGCTGGGGACAGGTGCCTGGGCTGGCACTGGCAGTGGAGCGAATGGTGGGGGGGGGGGGCCTCCGGCTTCTCCTCCCCTCCGCACTCGGCTGCCACGCGTTGCCCTTCCTCTTGTCAGGATTTTAGGGAAGGCCCCGGTGTCTGCACAGAGAGATCCGGATAACCTGTCTCGCGCTTGCTGCAATGGGGGACCTTATCGGTGATTCACGTTTCCTTCATTTCAAGGATGAAGAAATTGATATTCTAAGAGACTAAGTGACTTGGCAGCTGCAAACTCTTCCTGCAGACAGTGCCCTTTAGGGCCTAGAGCTAAACTCAGCAACCCTTTCCCTCAAGCCACCTACCACTTGTCTCTACCTGAACTGTCTGAACAGGCTAGCCTACTCCCACTCTTCAATCCCTTTCAATACAACTCTTAAAAAAAAAAAAATGCATCCCTTAAGGCTGGCCATTGGAAAGATACCAGGAAGATACTCTTTAGCCACAACTGAGATAGTGCCATGCTTCTGCTCAAAACTCTTCAATGGCTCCTCCTTACCCACAGGATGATGCCTAGACTGTGCGGGATACAGGAGGCCCTCCCATACATGGTCTCTGCCCACCACTCTGCCTTCCTCCTGTGCTTTGGACTTACCAACTCCACACTGTTGTCAAAGACATCTCCCTCTTTATGGGTGACTTTTCCTCCTACTTGGAACCCTCATCCCTACACACAGGCACAACTTCCTGCTGCCTGGGGAATTCCAACCTCCTTTAGGACCCAGCTAAGGGATCTCCACCTCTGAGAAGTGACCCCCTTTTCTGGCCCCTCTCCCTCCTCTTTCTACCACCACTCCATCTCCTCCATGTCTTTATCTTTGCCCTTACTCCACTTTATTATAACTGTTAGTGACATCTTTTGTTTCCCCTGCTTTTATAACCCTCAAGGGCAGGGTCTGTGTCTTTTCCACTTTTGTATTCTTGCTGCTTCTTTCAGAGTGTGGCAGAGAGATAACTGATCACCTTTGAATGAAAGAAATGAATGGATGAACAAGCGGGCAGATGAATGAATCTCCACCTTGCGGTTCCTGCTCCTTCTCCAGTTGTGAATCACTCCAGACTAAGAGCAGATGTGCTTCCCACAGAGGCTTCTCAACTCTGGAATTTCCTTCTTTGACAAAGTCTGTGTTACTCATTTTCCCAATATCCTTTCTTCCCTCTCTCTTTTAAAAAAATTGGTGTGCTAGTGGCTTGACTCATCATAGTGTTTGTCTTGTGCCAAATTGATGAAATGGATGTTTTAAGATACATTGAGTAATTCCCCAGTTTGTGTGATTTCTCAGTCCTTCACCTACTTCCTCAAGCTGCTCTCTCTCCCACCTTAGCTTTATATTTTCTCCCTACGTCTCCAGAGGCGCCACAATCTCTTGTGGGAAGGATTGAGGATCCCCCAATGCCTACAGACAACCAGTGCAGAGGTATTCCATCAAACAGAGTCCACAAGCATCTTGGCTTCTGTTAAAATTTAAGAATGGGAGAGAAATGCAGCACAGCAAGGATGGATGATCCCAGTCAACAGCATATTGATTAGAAGATGTTTCAATAGGTACATTTAAATGCACAAAGAAAAAAAAACCCATAAGTTACTACAAGCATCAATTTCTGAATTTGTAAATTCCCTAGGAGGATAGTTTCAACTCTGTCCTTTAATTAGAACAGCAGTATGATTCCCTTTTGGTCCAAGGAAGTTGTTACTAATACCACTAATTTTTTCCGTGAGGACCAATATAGCTGGAAATGCCAGCATAGATCTTCTGTAAACAGATCCCAGGAGCAACCTTCATTGTCTCTAGCTGGTGGGTAGTTCAGCTTTATTACTTGGCTTTGGGTCATCATGGGGGCAGAGGTAGAGTGGCTGACATTTATTGAGTCCATACTTCTAGTTGCCATACATCTTTGATCTCATCTAATTCCTCACCACAACTCTGTAAAGAAGGTATTATATTCAAGGAGGGAGAGAGAGAGAGAGAGAGAGATCAAAGAGGTTAGAAGTCACACAGCTAGTCTGATGGATTCTAAAGGTTTGGCCCAGGTGCATCTGTCATCAGCATTCATTCATTCAATAAATATCTACTGAGCACTTGTAGGGGAACCTGGGTAGCACCAACTGTTAAGCGTTGGACTCTTGGTTTTGGCTTAAGTCATGATCTTGGGGTCTTGAGATTGAGCCCAGCATGGGGTTCTGCCTTTTTTTTTTTTAATTTGTATTTATTTTATGATAGTCAACAGAGAGAGAGAAAGAGGCAGAGACATAGGCAGAGGGAGAAGCAGGCTCCATGCACCGGGAGCCCGACGTGGGATTCCATCCGCGGTCTCCAGAATCACGCCCTGGGCCAAAGGCAGGCGCCAAACCGCTGCGCCACCCAGGGATCCCTTTTTTTTTTTTTTTAATTTTTATTTATTTATGACAGTCACACACACACAGAGAGAGAGAGAGAGGCAGAGACACAGGCAGAGGGAGAAGCAGGCTCCCTGCAGGGAGCCCGATGTGGGACTCGATTCTAGGACCCCAGGATCACACCCTGGGCTGAAGGCGGCGCTAAACCGCTGAGCCACCCAGGCTCCTCTGGGGTTCTGCCTTTGACAGGGAATCTGCTTAACTCTCCTCTAGGGATGCCAGGGTAGCTCAGTGGTTCAGTGGCTGCCTTTGGCTCAGGTCATGATCCCGAGGTGGTGGGATTGAGTCCCACATCCAGCTCCCTGCAGGGAACCTACTTCTCCCTCTGCCTGTGTCTCTGCCTCTCTCCGTGTCTCTCATGAATAAATAAATAAAATCTTAAAAAAAAAAAAAAGACTCTCTCCTCTCCCTCTGCTCCACCCCCACCTATCCTAAATAAATAAATAAATAAATAAATAAATAAATAAATAAATAAATAAATCTTTTAAAAATATATATTTGTTGAGTACCTGTTAGGTGCCAGAGTTTGGCAAATAAAGTTTAAACAATGCATATAAGACACTTCACAATGGATCTCTGACCCAACCTACTTTTCCAACCCCATTTCCTAAACTTTTTCTTCCACTTGCTGCACGCATTCAGTCTCTTAATCTGAGTCACCCTTTGAGCAGATCCATCTCCCTTTGGCCCATCTCAGATTTCTGCTGCAGCCGGCATGGATACCTCCCACAGGCTGCTATGGTCTCAAGCACCTACCTCTATGATATTCCCACTTTCTGCCCCAGGGTTTTTTTTTTCAAAGTCGTGTCAATGGCATCCCAGATGGAAATTTCTAAAGCGGAAGTTAATATCCATCCCAGGGACAGTGGAAATGGGAGCTGCTTAATAAATGTCCAAGGCTACTATCTTTGAAAGGCATTTCTGAGATATACTCTACATGGTTACTCAGCGGTCCAAAAGGAACGAGCCCCAGTTGTTCACAGTGGTAACCAATCCATAATGACATCTCCCTTGGCTTTCTCTTCTTGTCTGTCTCCCTCACCTCTGCTTTCTGGGATAATCTCCTGACTAAAATACCCGCACCAGGTTGTTGTGTCGTTTCCTGCTCTCCTTCTCTGTTTTACCCACTAAGACACCCTCCAGCCTCCCAGTGCCCTCTCTGATACAGCCGCACAAGGTGCTTCACCATTCCCCCAGTGACTCCTTGGTCTCTCATGTCTTCTTTGGTCATGCTGCTTCTTCCTCTGCTTGATAAGATCCTTTGTAATCTATCAAAGCCCAGCTCAACTGGGACTTTCTCTAAAGCCTTCCCTTTCCTGGGTCTAGTTAGATATGCTTATCTGCAGAGGGATTTACCTTGGTTGCAACACCAGTCACCCCACACTGTAATTAATTACAGGGCTCCTGGAGGAAATTCTGGCTCTAGCCAGCTGTCACTTCTTATTCCTCCAACTGTCACAGCACCTAATATGGTGCCAAACAGCCAGAACCCAGGACACATCTGCTGAGGAATGAATAAATGATGACTGAATGAATGATCAATACCCTACCTGGACTTTTAAAACTGTATCCTATGCTACCTTTT